TCTTCTTTTATGTTTTACTTTTTTTTTTTAACTAATTCTTCAATTTTTTCCTATTTAAAGAATTTATAAAAGACGTTTTCAGATATGCATGTACGTTCCCAATTTATTTTCATATGCGTAAATTTTATAATATATTATATAGCAATAAATATACAAATAAATATGTATGTACATGGGATAGGGATGGGGATAGGTTTATTATGATGTGTTTAAAAAAACAAATACGAAAATCGCGTGCAAAACATTCTTAAACAGCCATAAATTTGTAATAAATACCTACATAAATAGGTATACATTACTATGTATGCAAGTATGTGCCTAGATATTAAAAATAAAATGATTTTGATCCAATTCTATAATATTAAAGAGAACAAAATTTTTTATATGTATATGCGTCCAACCAAACCATAATTTATAATTCAGAAACGTTTTCAATCTAATGTCTTAAAAATTATCATACATAAAAAAAATTATAATTTGTAATAAAATTGTGGAATGCAAATCAATAAGATTGGTAATAATAAAAAAAAAAATTTGTTATGAAAATAAAAACAACGAGAATAAGGCTTGATATGTAAGATTGATGACGAACTGCTCGCGTTTCTCATACTTAAGTATAAGTGTGTGCATACAATATAAATTTTTTTTTAATTTAAAAAGAAAATTGTTTTGTAATGCAACGTTTCAATTAAAAATATTGTCGGAAAATTTTTTTTTTGTTTCTTTTTCCTTTATAAATTTACTCATTTTATAAATTGAATATGAAAAATATAAAATAAAATTATTATTTTCTTATTCAATAAATAAATTGACGGTAATTAAAACCTTTTAATTTATATAAGTCAGATTTATTTATTAGGAACAAAAAAAAATCTTGATAAATTTTAATTTAAATTTGATATTTGAAAATTTACTACTTATGTATAGGTTTTATAATTAATTTTATAAATATTAAGCTCATTGCATGAAGAATTTATTCGAATTTGTTCAGTTTAACTGAAAATTTAATGAGATTGAATTTTTTTAATAATTATCATTATATCCGTGTGCATGTGTAGTAAGAATCCGATATATATACTGTCATGATATTGCATCCAGTAAGCTTAAATTGTACTCCATGTATTGTAAATTTAAGACACACAATAATTCAAAGTATATTCCAAATATTAACACTAGTATAATTGTTTTCTTCATTGTCACATTTCATTTCCATATACATACATATTATACACTGGCATAGAATATATTGTTAGAACATACACTAGCTGCTGTTACATATTTTAAATAAAAGTAAAAATTAGTTGTAATGTACTAAAGGATTTTCAAGTAAAATTATTTTATTAATGATTAAATTCTTTATCTTTACATGTTTAGTATTGTCCAATCGTTGAACTTAACAATTTAGGGTATGTAGATACGACGGCATTTTTAAGATAAAAATAGTTTTGATAATTAATATTATCAATTACCCTAATTGATATCAAGTCGAAACGTAAAATCGAATTACAAATTTATTGTGGTTATGTGCGATACCTTAAAAAAAAATTAACCTGATAATCTAAAATTTATTAGTGGGATAGGCATTTCTTATCTTTTTGTTAAAAATATTACCTTTCCAAAATAATTTACTAATAATATGTACATATGAAAGTGCGTATGTACCTATATTATTGTTTGAAATCCAATAATCACCCATATAATATTAAATTTTTTCAATATTTAGGAGCATTTCAAAAACGACCATTTACATATTCTTATGTTATTTAGCAATAATTCTATCAATGTTTTCTTTAAAATGAATGATGCAGTAGTTTTCGTGATCGCATGGGAAGAAAAGCCTTTTTCACATTCAAACATCGGTCGGTTCATTTTGAAATGGATCCAATATTCTATAGTTTAATATCGAAAACTAAAAATAGTTAAAATCTTCGATATTAGTATAAAATTAATGTAAAAATAATTACCAAAAATAAAAAACTCATAATTTTAAATATTCTGTAGCCAACAAGTATAATTAAATGATATTAATTATCAGTAATTTTGAATTAAATACAAAATCCAAAACAATATCAACTGATAATGAAAACCAATGTCACTTATCAATTATTTAAATTTATTGTCAGACAGTTTCAGGGTTGCACAGATTTAAAGTGACACCTAACGGGAGGAAATATCTCCATTTATACGATAAAATAGATTGAAGATAGTCAGGCAAATTAATTACCCGTCTTAGTTGAAAGTCTATACAAATCTCTAAGAGGCTATATGCTCCCTCGAGAATTGAAAAATGTGAAAAGCAAAAATTTAAAATAAAATTCCATAATGAGAGTTTTTTGATTTGCAGTTCATTAAACTTTATATATATCAACTTAATTTTATATTTAAAATAAAATATAGTCAGGTTAATCCTCCTGATAAGACTGAATTATATTTGTGCATGCGAGTAGAAAGTAACACTAATGATGTCAATAATTTGCAATGTAAACTAAAATTTTAACCTACTTCTAATAAATAGGATTGTAACATGCAATTATAAAAAAAACAGTATTGCCAATATCAACAACATTAAATGAGAAATCGTTTCTAAAAATTATTTTGAAATTTCTATATTAAGGTGATATCAATAATTGTTTCCCTAATGTATATATTAATCGACTAAAATATTTTGTTATAAATTTGAAGTAAATATTATTGAATTTCATATTTGCTCTTTTTTTAATAAAATAAGTAGCATATTTTCTAGAATACTGTTTTATTCCATGTATATGTAGGTACTAACATATAGTTCAAGAATACTTGAGTCTAAAAATCAACAAGTTTCTTATTATATTTCTTGAATTTATTTACTTTTTTTTTTGTTGTTTAAATATAGCAAAATAATTATTTATTTTAGGTTGATATGATCTTGTTTATCTGATAAGCAGAAAATAACAATGATGATACGAGTAACATTATTATCATGTCTGTTCCATATATAATATAAACTTACTAGCTAGAGTGCTAGACCAATAAAAATTGATATGAATTTTATACATATTTAAACATAAGTACATCATATTCTTAACATTAAGATTTTTAAGTATTAATTTTTAATGTACATACCAGTATACATATACATACACATATATGTACTTGAAAATTTATCGGACAATTTAAATTTCAAAAAATACTTGAAATATTCTAGATTATAATAAAATTGAATAAATTTTAAAATTTTTTAAAATTTGCGGTTTTTGTATGTAATTTAAAGCCAAAGCATGACATTGCCATATATATCAAAATTTGGATATCAAAGTTTTTAGATTTACAACATTTTCAAAAGAGTTTTATTTCTACTAAAACACCGTAGCCATAATTTGTAGCGCTAAAATGGAAATAAAATATAACAATTCTTTTGAAAAAATATTTAGAACTCAGCAATAAATTTTCATTCCGTTCTGTTTTTTACGATAACTAACTTTTCTAATATTTTGACTTAGAACACTATAATTTTAGGTGTACAATGTTATGTAAAATTTACTTAGACTGGTACCTTACCCAATATACTGTGTAAGTTTGTATTTCGTTTAATTAGGAGATAGAAACTTCATATTTTAATTATTTTCTATCTTTATTTATTTTTGACTTGTACATAGATAAAAAATTAAAAAAAAAACTAATTGTAAGTGTGTGTGTAGATCAAGTTACAAATAAAGGTTAAATGAAATCTAATTATAACAAGTAAACAATCTTAGTAATTTTTTTTTTGTAAATATAATGTCTACAATTATGATAGTGTTGTATTTTAACTGAGTATTTAGTATATAGTAATTTAGAAAATTAATTAAAAATTTATTTATTATGTACCAAACATTTATTGATGCAATATGAGATATTAAGAAAGATGTTCCAGTTAGAGGTTAGTTTTTTATTTTGCCGCTAATTGTCTGTTGTATTACTACCATAAAATGTAACTTATTTTATAATGGACAAAAGAATTGGAAAATATCGGTTATTGCCAATAGAAAATGTTCAATATTGCAAATATTGCATTTCAAGTGACGCAGGATAAATTTTTTGTAAGTAAATAGTTCTATAAGCCTCATTCTGTAAGGCGCATCGCTGAGGTGATCCGAAATTTTACATTATCGTTTGTTGTGATTATCTCAGCGTTGCTGTTCCACAATACGTGACAATAATTTTTGTGATATTTGCATTGGTAAAGTCTTATAAGAATAGACAGAAATAGAATATAAGACAGAATAGTCACTTGAATGATACCAATTGTGTCATTTGTATTGTAGAATAAGGGTTATAGTAATTTTGTTATCAAAAAATATAACTAAATATTTTAAATGACTCAAATAATCGTATATAATTCCATATCAGTTTTGTTCTCATCATAAAAATATTAAATAACTTTGACATATTAGTGTGAATACCATTTTTCAAAAATTGTTTACACTTAAAAATGTTCTACTTCGCAAAATATTAATGTGATCTGAATTTATTTTATTATATAATATAAAATAAAATATGAGTTAGATTATTAACGTAAATTGTAATAAAATCATAAATAAAATAAATCATCATTAATATAAATTAAAAAAAAAAAAATTCATTTTTAACCATTTATTTCAATATTAGAACACATAAATTTTATTTTTTATTTAAGATATTAGAAGGAAAAAAAACACAGAGTTCTAAAATTAAAAAATTAATAATAGAATTTTTTGCTAAATTTTTATTGCAGAAAATATTATTTACTTTATAAGCTAGAGTTTAAATATTTTTTCTAGTTAATTGATTTTAATTAGTAAATTATAAAGAACACATTTCATGTCGACGTAGATTCTATATAGGTATTATATGAAACTTAAATTCCCATATAATTAAATTTTCAGACCTCTAAACTAAATTCTCTTAAATAAAACTCAAAAACAGAAAATTATATTCAACTATATTTTTTATTTAAAATTATAAAACACTAATTTTCTATTTCACTTTCATATATTTTTCAGATCTAACCTTACATTTTAAATGGAAATCAATGAAATATACCACATTTTACGGATAAATAAAATTTTATAAAATTATTTATGCATACTTTTATATAATTTAATTAAAAAAATTCAGAAAAAAATCTAGAAAAAAAAACAATTTCAAAATGAGTGTTTACGGTGATTCAACATCAATTAGAAATGGCCGAACATCTAGTGAAATATCAATTTATGATTATCCAGAACATTTAAATCCATTCTATGAGGATGAAAATCATAAAAGAATAAGATTTTGGAAAATTGGTAAAAATAAAAAATCAAATTCAAATTCAAATGTTCCAAGTAGAAGGAATAGTTTTTCATTTGGTGGACTCAAAGATATGTGGTAAGTTTGGAATTCAATGAAAAAAAAACAAAAATTAATTATTATTAAAATGTTAATGAACTTTATTGTTATATAATTTTTTTTTAATTTAATTTTGAATTTATTTCCGAAAAAAAAAACCGAATAATAATTTTTAAGTATTTTTCCACTTTTCAATTAAAAAACACCACAAACATAATGGGTATCGTTTTAATCAATGTCAATATGGAGATTTAGACTTTTGTAAAAGTCTAAATCTCTATATACTGTCAATTTGCAAGAAATTGTTCAGAACTCTTTTGTATATTGTATAAGTACACATATATTTCGTATAATTACAGAGTGATTCAGAAAGAAATTCAGAAGCCATATAAACCATTGTGTATAGGGCGAGAATTAAAAAGTTGGCGTAATTTTTTGTTTAAAATATGATTTTTCAATTAAAGTGTTACCCAATTTTGTCTATTTTGCTCTCGTAATGACAAGCGTTACAAATTTTAGCAAATTCAATTTTTCTATTTTCTTTTGGCTTAAATTTTATGGTTGAAATAATTAAAATTTTATGGGTAAACAGAAATTTTGCAAAACTATTTTTAAAATCACTGATCAAATATGAGTAAGTAGAAACAGCTTTCCTTTTACACTAAATTCTATGCAAAAAGTTTTACACCATATTTTATTCTCTACACATTCAGGTTTAAAACACACCCTATATTTCATTTAATAATTCTTTTTTTCTTAATAACACTATTCAAGAGAGTGTTTCTTTTCTCCATTATTATGATATAAAAGATTTTGTTTCATATACTCGTATATCCGTTTATTCTTGAGATTAAATTGATCGCACTCATTTATATGAAATTTCTAAATTACAAAAAAATAAAAAGAATAAAAATTTTCTTTCAATTCTCTGAAGTGAACTTGAAATTTTAAAGAATAACGGTAAAATCCAGATTGTTGTAAATCTTTTTACAGACTAAAAGTAATCATATAAATGCATTCTTTGAGTAATACAACGCTTGAGTATTGTTTTTTCAAATTTTTATCTTCAATTCAAAGTATATTATTATGTTTGCTAGTTCTCATTTATTTACTCTCATTTTATAAAGAATCGACTGTAATATTATCATATTCAATTAGAGAAAATTGAAATCACAATTATTGTAAGTGTTGTGTGATGACAGAAACTGTGCTTTCTTATTATATGTGTTTACACAATACTATTATAATATAGTACGTACACTTTAATCAATTGAGTAAATTTATGCAGCACACGACGCAAAATCGTAACACTTTCAAATATATTCACTTTATTCGTAAAATTTATTGTTTATTAAGAAGTGAAATTTAAAATTTAAACATTTCAAATTTCATATGAAATTTTATTTCATATGAACATAGGAACATTGAATTCTATTCTGAATTATTAGACATATCAATTCAATAAAATTTCATATTAAAAAGTTAAAAATTTCTTAAGTATATTTCAAATTTGAGTATTAATTCCATTTTATTTATAAAATTCAAAAAATTTTTTGATAAAAAGGTTTTAAGCTGACTGAATCACTCTATATAATTTCCAAATTCAGAAGGAATTTTTAGATTTTGAAAGAACTTGACAGTTTTTTTTTGTGAAAGACTTAATATAATTTTTAAATATATTTTGTCAAAATGTTGTCAATTCACTTTATGGTACTTGACTTTTGGAACTTTAAATGAATAAATTTGGGAAATTGTGGTAAAAAATCTTAGCTATTATATCTAAGAATTTCGTTCCTATATTTAAAATTATTTTGAATTTTTATAATTTTATTTATTAATAAATTAATTATTCTTTCTTACTTCTTCTTAATAGGGCATTTAAATCATTTCGACCAAAGAAATCATCAACATTAGGTATTAATAAAACATCTGAAAGTCCACCAAGATTACAAACAGTTGATATACGTGATACAAATTATGGTACATTAGATAATAGATCATCACGTTATTCAACTGGTTTACATAATGGTAATAATCAACAATTTCAACGTAATGTACCATATAGGAGTTCATTACAAGATATGAGATATAGTGGTAATAGTGTTGTTGGTGGCTATAATAATAATGATGTTAATTTAAGAAATAATAATGGTTTTGGACGTAATGAAATGTATCGTGCAACAATACAAACACCAAGCCGTATGAATCGTACAAATAATATGATGATGAGAAATTCAACAAATCAAAGATATCAAGTAACATCATCACCAAAATTACAATCATCAGATAGAAGGTATGTTTATGGTGGTTCAGTAACACCTCAACCAATACGTAGTAAATATAATGATAAAAATAATGATGGCACAATATTAAAAATATATGAAAGAGAATCGGGGTGAGTTTTGACAAAATAAGAAAAGGAAAAATGACAAAAAAAAAAATGTTGAATGGTGACAAGAATTTTGTTATTTGGTTGTTATTGTGAAAAATCACATTGCATATTATTTTTATGTGCTTGTTATTTTGGTTCTTTTTTGTTTCTTTTCTCTATTTGTTGATAAGCAACGTAGAATGCCTACCAAAATGTAGATCTAACGTCAATTTGATTTATTTAGCAATACTTTTTAATTATTGAATTAAGGTGATTTGACATTAGATCTGTGTTTTGGTAGACATCTATAGTGAATGGGGATATTATAAAAAATAATTGTCAAATCTTTTAATGAAATATTTTTTTTTTTAAATTATCAGAAATTTTGTCAATTTAATTATTGTACAAATTTTCTTTTTGGTAAACACTCAATGTTATTATAAAATAACACCATCATTATAATATGTAGTGGGCCATTCATAATATTTTCTTTTTGAAAAAGTAATGAATTATAAAATTCAAATAATGTATATATAAGTTCGAAAAGCGCCATATTTATTTTATTCTCTGTATTATATAAGAAATATCCTCTAATTGAAAAAGTTTTGTGTCAATGCAGCCGTAAATAGCTTAACGATCTGCATTTTTAATCTATCGATGACTTTTCAAAAGCAAGTGAAATCATAGGAAAAAATAATGAAAGGAGCAGCTTGGTGGTGGATTAATATCGTTAATTGAATAAATATAGGCATCGGAATTAAGTATGTATGTATGTTTATTTTCAATATAGAAAATATGAAATCAATCAAATTCGAAATTTTCAATAAAACCCGGGATTTAATATATTTAATATTCTATATTCAATAATAATAAATTAATATTCTAAATGTTAAATTATCTAAAATAAAATGACATTTGAATTGAAATTTCAAAGATAAAATGACATTTTAAGGTTACTTATCTAAATAAAAATATTCTTAATTCAAAAAGAAAACAATAGATGGCCCACCCTTCACATTTACATATATACGTTCATAATTTGGAATAAAGTTTAACTGCATTATTTTTATTTTATATGTTTTTTTTTTTTTTGTTACATTAATTTTTGTTTACTTCGCTGTCACAAATGCATATACATACATATAAAAATCACAAACGATTTAAATATGTAAATATTTAATTTGACTAAAAAAAAACTAAATGTGCATTTAAATTTTTATTTTATGTATAAAAAAAAAATAAATTCATATTATTTTGAGCTTTTAATTAAAATAAAAGTTTTTCATATTAATTTTATTTACATTTTTATTTTTAGGTCATCTCAGTTAAGTGTCGCTTCAAGTACAAATCCATTTGAAGATGATGATGATGATATTGATGATAATGATAAAGAAAATTTAAATACAACATGGCATGGTGATTTAAATAAAGAAAAATCGGATAAAATTCGTCCGGCAACTAGTGCAAATTCTTTAACACGTCCTTATAGAAAGAAACGAAGAGCTCCACCACCTCCTGTACCAGTAAGTACAATTTTAATGTGCGTTTAAACCTATGTATATACATACATATATGTTTTAATGTACATGCACCTACCTACCAAATGAATTTGCCATTAAGATTTAATTTTGTTATTGAGTATTTTAAATGCGTGTAAAAAAAAAATCTGAAAAAGAAATGAGGTAATTCTAGTTTAACACATAAAGCTAAAATTAAATTAAAATTAAAATTCTGTTCATTTATCTTCATTTATGACATATACATATACATATACATATACTTATAATTTATAGGTATATAATATAATGTACTCATGTATATAAATTTTCGTTGTATTTTAGATATGTACATGAATTTTTTCTAATAATTTAGTCTATCTTTTTAGAATTTATTTGTATATTTTGTTTAAATTTGCAAATATTTGTTAAAAAAATTAAAAAGAAAATAATAAAGTAACAAAACACTCCTATAAGTAGCGATAACGTCGTAGTCATATAAAGCTGTTTTTTTTCTTTTTCAATATCATGATAATTCTATTAAAATATTATCACTTGAATGTAAGAAATTTAAAGGTTACCCAGTAAACAAAAATTATCAACTATATTCTAATAAATTATGAGCTAACATTGCTATAGATTTCTATAGATATCCTATATTTCTATAGATTAACATCCCTGATTCATAACATCACTATAGAAGTTTAGTAAATTTTAAATAAAGGTTATAATAAAAGTTTCAAATTGTAGTTTCAAGAATTCAAGTTTCTGATATGTAGTTGGAAATAGCATTTAAAAATATCCCGAAAAGTATTACCTTCATACAACAGAAATTACTTAAATTATAAGTAAAACTTTCTTATAATTCTATTCACAAATGCTTCGTTCATTTGAAAAACGATAAATAAAAATAATTTTGAATTAAATTGTTTCTTTGGTTATTAGTCACTTATTGATTAGACAAGCTTTATTATTAGTATAAATTTATGAAATTTCCAATTTCAAATAATGATTATCAATAAATTGATAAAGAAAAATTTATTCCAAGGTATTGTAAATTATAAGATTTTTATATGGAATTTTTTTTCAATAATGATTAGATCATATAATTAAAAATTTGAAATCGAGAATTGAATTGCAAATTTATTTATTAGTTTTCTATAACATATTCGAATTTATTTTTAAATAAGTAATAAATATGAACTAAGCGAGTTTTTGAGCCGTTCCACATAAATTTAAATATGTAATAAATTTCTTTTCTCTTAATATTTCCTCAGTACCACTTTACGATCACTTCTTGCTATCATTATTAGACAAAAAATTACATTTCTTTATTATTAGCTTGAATTTTTTTTAATTTATAAAAATCACTTGTACCATTTTTGAAAACTAAAATTAATTTGTATTATTTTTAGATTCCAAATGTTATTGAAGAAGAACCAAATAAAAAAGATGGAAATGAAATTTCGCCCACCCATACTAATAAAAATGGCATAGAGAGCACAAATCAAGAAACTAGTCAAGAGCATGTTATAACCAATGAAGAAAAAGAAATATCTAATTTAACAGCTGAAATTGAATCATTTGTTAATCAAACCGTAAAAGAAGATAGTCCTGAACAAAATATTCCACCAGTTCCACCAGAACGAAAATATTTCCGTGAAGATATTTCTATTAAAACTCAAAAGAATAAAAATGAAAGTCCACCTCCAACACCAAAAATTGTGATTACAGAAGAAAAACAAGAAATTAAAACAACAAAAAAACCATCAGTTACAATAATAAGTGAACCAACTCAAGTAATTGAACACACAGAAGTAATAATATTAGAAGATGAAAAAGATGCAATTTCAAATGAACCCCAAAAAGTTATAGTCCAAACAACAATTGTTGAAAAAGGTGGATCACGTACTATAACAGTATCAAATACAAATTCTAGTAATGAAAAAATTCTAAATACTGATACAAAACCAATTCCTAGTGCTAGAAAAATTAATGAAGTTCATAATGAAGCAATAATAAATAACGATATTAATATAACAAATAATATTATAACACCTCCAACTAGTCCAAAGAAAGAAAAACCTCCAATAAGTCCTAAACCAAATTTAACAGATATTCAAAATAAAAATAATGAATTGGAACAAGAGCAACAAATGGGTGATAATGAAAATATTAATAAATTAAATTCAACTAATTCAATTGATAAACAAAAATTAAGTGAATCAGAAACAGCTAATAATAATCTAACAAGTGAAATTTGTAAATATAATCATATTCCAATTAATCAATGTGAATTAAAAATTACTGAATCAAGTGAAGATATTTCAGCTGAAATTGCAAATGAAATTGTAACATTACCATATGTTCCTTTAAAATCAGAATCACCAATTAATAATGAATCTGTAATAACAACAATAAAGAATGGTAATAAATCAGCATCACAAAATGATATAAATGAGAATGTTGAATTAAGGGAAACAAAATTAGATAATAATCTAATTAATAATATAAGACCACGTTCTCATTTTACAGATGAAGAACCAGAACATCGTCGACCAGTTAAATATGAACGTAAAAAATCAGTTCGTGAAATTATTGAATCAATAAATAAAAATCAAAGTTTATTAAAAGTCAATAATATGAAATCATCAACGAATGGAGCAAATGGAAGAGAATCAAATAAGGATTTCGAAATAAAAGCAAATAATTTGGGTGAATCTGAATTAAAAGATTTAGATGAAAGTCAAAGAGATTTTAAAAAATTATTATATGAACTTGAAAATTATGAATGTAATAATAATAAAAATCAAAAAAATTTATCAGAAATAAATAATAATAACAATCATGTTGGTGAAATTGATTTAATTTTTAATAAAATTGATCAATTAAATGATAATGAAAATATTTTTAAAAAATGTTCAGCAACTCATCATATTAATGGTAATTCAATAATTACTACAACTACAACAACTGTAACTACATCATCAAAATCAAGTAGAGAAGCATCACCAACAGCATCAAATTTAGATTGGAATCCAGTGCCAAAACCGAAACGAACAAAAAAACTTAATAACGATTTAATAATGACGACGAGTTCATCACCCGACAGTTGTAATGAAAGATTAATAGAATAAGAAATTAATAAAAAAAAAAAATTTATAATATTTAAGATATTTAAATATTTTGTTTTTTTTTTTCAAAAAACAAGTAAAATTTAGAATAATTTAAATATTAACTAATTAAAATATTTAAAAAAAAAATCTATAAAATTTATTTTTTTTTTCAAAGTGCTGTTGTAATTCTCTAATTAAATTTATTTGTGAAACCACAATTATTATTATTACTATTTTAATATTTATAAAAATTTTTATTTTTAATAAAACGAAGTTTTAATTTAAGTTTTAAAAATTGGAAATTAATAAAAAAGAAAAAGATAAAAGCAATTATTGTATAATAATATTTTTATTGACATTAAATTTCCAGGAAAATAAAAATAAAGTAAAAAATTTTGTAAATTTTAAAAATTTTAAAGCAATATTATTGGAAAAAATAAAATGGTGCTTGAAATTTAATTAAAATATTCTTTTTTTGTTTTTATAATATGCATACCTATGTACTATAAATCTTTAAAAATTTATCGAGAAATTATAATATTTCTTTAAATATCTTGGAGCAGCACTAGAACTTAAACACAATCTGTTAACAAAATTTTTGCAATTCAAAATAACAACAAATATAGGAGATGCAGCATTTATTTCATAAATTGGATTATAAGAATTTTAGAAAATTTATTTTCATAATATAATTTTAATTTACGTACATATTTATTTAATAATTGAGCGAAATGACAAAGCGAATCGAATGAACTTACCGAATTCAGCAATCATTTCAAATTGTCGAAATTGTTTTGAAGACATCCAAAATGACATTACCATACAATATTCAAAATAGTTTACTTAATCAAAATATTTTGTTTCCATTCGCTAAAATTATATTTTTTTTATATATATAATATTATAGAAAATACTGATTTCGAGATAGGGGTAAGAATAGGAGTTATTAATTAGTAACATATTTTATAAATAATAAAAATAAATAAGTTTCTATAAATTTCAAATTACTTCTCTGATTTCCTGTCTAATATCAGTTTTCATTCACTTTCAAATCAGAATTCTAATTCTCATTTAATTGTAATGAGTAGGAGCATTTTTGAGAAATGTTGGAGTGAAAGGATAAGATAAAGAAGAAAAAAAAAAAAATCAATAATCACTTTTATTTTTAATAATTTTCAAATTAATATTTTTTTTTTTTTGTTTTTGATTTCATATATTTACAGTTTTTCTTCGTTAATATATTTATTTAATATATAAATAATATATATATATATATATCCAAATATATATATAATTAATAATTAATAATAATTAATCATAATAATAAAAATGAAATATATTTAATATTTTTTTTTTGTTATTCTTTTTTTTAATTCTTATGTTTTGTTTTCTTTTTCATTTTCTCTTTTGTTTTAAATAATCTTATAAATTAATTAAAATTATTTTCTAATTAAAAATGAAAAAATTTTCTGTTTTTTCTTTATTTTTTGTGTTTTATTTTTTTAATATACAAATATTTTATTTTTTAAATACTGGTTATATAACATTTTTATAATGTATGTACGTACGTGTTTTTATAATTTATATGTCTATATTTTTAAATAACAAAATGGCGTTTTAATATTAATAATTAATTTTTTGTTTGTTTCACTTATGTTTTTCGTCCTTAAAATAATTTCTAAATTTATTCTTTCATTTAATTTTTTTTATTAATTTTTTTTTTTTTAGGTTTTCTTTTACTATCTGTCTGTCACGTTTGTTTTTGTTTGATTTTTTTTTTTAATTAATTTTCATTATTATTACTAAAAAATAATTAAATGTATGTATGTATTATGTATGTAAATATGTTTATGTACGAATTAACATATTATTAATTATATTTTTTTTTTGTTTTGGTAAACTTAAAAATTATTCTTCTTTTTCTTGTTATTTTTAATTTTTTCTTAAGAATTGGTTTTTTTTTTTTAATTTTTTTTCTTGTTTTTTTTTTAGAATTATTTTGATAAACTTTACAGTCTCACTTAATATATTTTTTTTTTTTTATTTTATAATTTCATTTATAAATAATTTTTTTGTTCATAAATATTTTTATACTTACATTTTTTCTTTTTACAGTTAATGCAGTTATTTTACATTCGTATTGAAAATAGTACATTTTATTTAAACTAGGATTGAGAATTTAATTTAATAAAATTGCAATAAATTTAAAAAAAAATTTAAATTTATTTTATTATAAATAGATTTCCGAATGTCAAACATAATATGAAATTAACAAAATATTAGAAATATTAAAGTCTATTCATTAATAATATTAGTAATCATAATTTTATAATAATGTCATACAAAAATGTAAGACAACTGTTTAATTCGAACTAGAAAATAAATTCTAATAAATATGTTATCTAATATCCGTCTCTTTAGAAATGTATCCATGATGTATATGTCATGTTAAATAATTTTTATGTATTTGAAAGAAAATTTTGACAAGTTTATCTATGATACTCCGAAATTTTTTTTATATTTGCAATATTTTTTTAATTATTTTAAAATACCTTTGTTTAGCAGATGTAAAATATTTTACAATAAATTCTGCTTCAGTTTTATTTTGTTTTTTTTAATTAAATTTAGAAAAAATAATGTTTTATAATAAAAATCGCCATATTCTCCATTTTGTTTGATAAATTAAACTTTTGCAGTTAGAGAATATTAAAAATTTTGCAATGTTGCGTGAAATTTCTGAATAATCTTACTTGCAGTTATTGTAATTTGCTAATACTGCTTTAAAGTTAAGCAATTCTTTTTAAATATACACGTTGCAATGTAGGACTAAGTTAGGACTGCGTTTTCAGAACAACGGAACATATGCATGTCACTCAAAATTTTTGTTGAGTTATTATGCTTTAATCTTTTATTATTATCATTTTTTATTTAGACGAACTGAAATTATGACATTTTATTAATTAAAAAATTTTTTGTAATTTTCAGATATTTAATTTGAAAATTTGGAATTTTTGCGAAGAATGAATACCACAAATACTTTTAAATTAGCTTTCAATGGCATTTCCAGAAGAGATCGTAAAATTGCAGAATAATATTTATATTAAAAATATTTTCGTTAAAATTTTAAATAAATTTATTTTAAAAAAATTTTAATATTCGAGATCGCCATTATCTTATTAAATCAAACAATTAAATTATAATTTCTAAAAAATTAAAGACATTTGAAATAATTAAGGTATGACATACTAGACTTTTTCGTAAACGTAATATTTATAGCGTTATATAATGAAAAAAACTGCACAATATTTGTGCTCGTAAACAAATAACGCTAAATTAGTGTGCTCATTCTAAACGTTTCTAAATTTTCGCTCTATATAGCGACATTAGTAAGTGTAGGACAGTTTAAATCATAATATGAATTGTTTAGATTTTATAGAATATAATCAAAAATGTGTTGCATTATCCATTACGTTATAATTTTGCAGTATTACGTTTCGCAGTTAATTGTTTTGCAGTATTGCGTTTATTTTTTATCTTTACTTATTTTTTCCTTTTTAGATTCAAACTTATTTCAATTTTAATTTTTTTTTTAACAATAGTGTTTTAATAGTCAATAAAATGTACAATATTCCCGACTTCTTGTATATGTTAATTTTTTTGGTTCGCTTAACTGTAACACAATCAATCATACAATAAAAAAAAAAAAACAATAAAAATATTAAAAAATATTATAAAAAACGCATTATTTTTTTTTTTCTGTTTTGTTTTTATTTTTTACAAATATTTTTATTATATTAAGGGATAAAAATTATAAAATATTTAAAATTAAAATTAAAGAAAAAAAAAATGAAAAACATAATTTTAATAAAATGCATGTATAATTTTTTTATTTTTTTTTTATCACAATGAACATTTTTTTTTTTAAATAATACGTATTGTTTTTTTTTTGTATTTTTATTTTATTTATTTTTTTTTTACTAAATTTAAAAATAATTTAATTTATATTTATATATTTTTGTTAAATTTTCTTTTTGTTTTTTTTTTTAATTTTTATTTTTTCATAATTTTCTTAATTTAATTTATTTTCTACTAGTTAAAAATAAGTTTGTTTATTTTGAAATGGTGTTAAAATGTTAATTAATACAAAACAAAAAAAAAAAAAAAATAAGAAAAGAAAAGAGAAAAAATAACATTTAAAATTGATTTTTTTTTTTTTAAATTTTCTAGATTTATTACAACAAAATTACTAATTGGACGGGTTGAGGATTTTGATGTTGAATTTTTATTTTTAATTATTAATTATAGTACTAGATAATTTTTTTAACAAATATTGTATTTATTTTCTATTAAACTTACACATACTTCCATTAATAAATTTATTATTTAAACAAAATTAATTAAAATTTTAATTAATTCCCCATTAATATCATAATTGTTTCGGTCGGACCAATATACAATAATTTATCGAAAAACTTATTGTTAACAACAAGTGGAATTAATTAAAAAAAAAAAAAAACACTTCATAAAATAGAAATAGGGAATGGAGTTCAATTCTTGCATATGCCATTCTAATTGCAAAAGATCTTGTTATTTAAAATTATATAACTCTGGAATTACAAAAAAAAAAAAAAAAAAAACAGCACCTCCGGGTGCTCTGGAATTACCAATAAAAATTCAGATATCATAAATTTTTTTTTGATATTAACTATGCTGAAGTTTATAATATAAAAGCAGAAAAATAAAATTTTTTGCTGTAAATTTAATACAATATAAGGTATATTAAAATATTACTAATAAAAAAATTAAATACTTTTTGCAGGAAACTACAAAAACGAATGACCATTGCAGATTTTTGGCTAGAACTGTAAACGTGAATTCATCCTAGTTATGTTTAATAAAAACAAAAATATATTTATAAAAGAATGGATGTTTTTTAAATTTTTTTTTCTTCTCTGAAATTTAAAAAAAAATAATAAATTAATTTTTAAATTAACAATTTTATTATTCAATTGTAGTATGTGTGGTATTTGTAAAATTAATTTAAAAATTTTTAAAATAAAAAAATTAAATTATAAATTTTG